AATTGTCTAGAATAGTAGGATCTAATGATGGTTTCCTAAGGAGGGGGAAGACCAGCGCCTCCTTAAGGGGCAGAGAAACAACCCCCTTACTTAGGGAAGAATTCCCCACCGCTAGAGCCCACCCACATGACACTTCCCTGGCATCTTTGATTAGCCAGAAGGGGCATGGGTCTAGAGAGCAGGTGGCTGAGCTCACAGTCATAAAATCCTGTCTACTTCTTCAGGCCCAACAGGTTAAAACCATTCCCAGGTAACAAGGCAAGATTCTACCCCGGACATTTCCCTAGAACCTGCACAAAAACATTCAACTGAGAATGAATTCAAGCAACTTCGTCCGGCAGATGCCATGGAAATTCTTTTGCATGGCCCTGTAAAGGGGGATCCTCAAGCCCTCTCTACCCAAGAGGGCACATGTCGCCCAAAACAAGGCTGCAGGAAGGCTATTTGTGGACACAATAAGGGCAGAGAAGTATTGTCGCTTCACTGCTCTTACTGCTATGAGGTAGACCTTAGTAGTGGTTCTAACATGTGTTCAATTGAGTTTGTCCTTTGTTGAGCACCAGTGACACTCTAGACGTCTCTTCTCTCATTTCATTTCCCTCAATTCCTCTGTGAACCACTGTGAATGACGGAATTCCTGAGAGGGGAGAGGTCTCATAGGTGTGATCTTATCCAAGGCCTCAGCAGCCCTCTTATTCCAAATGGTCACCAGGACCCCAGATGGGATGTGCGGCAGACCAACAGGAACAGCCCCCAGCTCCCTCTGAAACCCATCAGAGTCCATCAGTCACTGAGGGTGGACCGATCTAATAGGTCCTGCCTCCCTGCAGCGGGTAGTGGTGGTCTGACCAGGACAAGGGAGATACTTAAAACTCCCCCTCAATTCTGGATCACGTTGCCACTGTTCCAACAGGAGAACCAGATTATGTGTGTGACCACTGTCCTGTGTCAGGTCTTGGATGACCTGGGATATGTCCCTGGCTATCATGGTAGCCATGAACTCCTGAGCTGCCTCCAACCCCACTCCCAGAGAAGGCAGATGGAAGTCCCCCAAGGCCATAAGTCTGGGGATCTCCACTGCCAACCCAGAAATGGAGTCAATCACGGTCTCACATCTGGCAACCTGTGGAGCAGTGCCCCTGAAAACCTTAAGAGAGTTTGAGGTTTCACTAAGCTAGATCTTCTCCCTCATGCTGTTTACCATCTATATAAAGCTGCTAGGAGAGGTCATTCATTGACATGTGCAGTATCATCAGTTGGACTCAGTTGTACATCCACCAACCTAAATTGTACTGGGGATTCTGTTGAAATCCTGGCCACGTATCTAGAGTCTGTGAAGATCTGGGATGGGTTAAAGCAAGCACAAATTAAATACCTGCAAAATGGAGCTACTATTTGTAGGCGATTGATCTGAATTAATTCTGGCTTCAATTTTGGCTTTGGACAGGGTTATAGTCTCCCTCATGGAGCAGGTCTGTGATTTGGGGATTCTCTTGGACTCATAGCTCCTGCTAGAGCAGCAATTGAGGCCTTGGCCAGGGGGCCTTTGTCCAGCTCTGGCTGGTTTACTAATTGTCAGCCTTTTTTGGACCAGGACAACTTGACCTTATTGATGAAATTAATATAACATGTTTGGTACATGTTGAATGTTTTTTAGTTTTTATGTATAGAGCTTCTTTCTGTAGTTTGACTTTTTAATTAATTAATTTTAATTAATGAATGGGGGTATTCATTTTTTAACTATTTGTGGCTTTTACGTTTATTGT